TCAAATTTTTTTTTTTTTTTTTTTTTTTTTTTTTTTTTTTTTTTTTTTTGTCTTTTTGGTTTGGCAGCCGCAAACCCTCCTTCTCCCTTTTAAAGGAGGAAACTAGGGTTTTCTTAAATTTGGGTTTTGATGGGCTGCTTAATATTGGGCTGGGCTTATGGGTTTATTTTAATAAATTTCATCCTCAGCTTTTTAATTTTTTCAATTGAGTCCTTTTCTTGTTTTTTTTCTTCAACTTCTCCCCAAAATTTTTCATAAAATTTTTTTATAACGATAAATCCGAAACGATACGCGAAAATTTCTGGTATCCGGTACGTACTGTTTCAATAACAAAACCGGTACGCATGCCGGTACGGTATTGACTACTTTGATTATTAAGCATTATCATACAGAGAATTCATTTAATAAGAAATCATATGTATCATGTACACTAGAAAATTTGAAAGAATATTAATTTAATTTAATTAGGTTTAAGAGATCAATTGATTATTTATTTGAGATTTTAAAAGGCCCATTAAGTAGTTATTTAGGATTTATTAAAGCTTTTAATAAATTTTATAGTATAGTAAGATATAATTAAATTTTAGATTTAAAATATAGTATAATTAAAATTTTTTGAATCAATTTAGAATTGAAGCTATCGAATCAATAAATTGAAGTATAGAAATGAAAGTGATTGGGCCATTATTATTATTGTTATTATTTTGCCGAATTAATTTGTGAAATCAAATTAAAGTCTTGATAATTAAAATTAAAATCATATTTATAATTTTATGTTAAAAATTTTAAAAGATCCATTAGATATTCATTTGAAATTTATTGAACATTTTTAACAATTTTTATAAAATAAAAGACAAAATATTTATATTTATCGAATATTTTATATTAAAAATAAAATTAAAGAAGAGAAGAGTCCTCCATTTTCTTATACAGAAATGTTACAATTATATTTTCATGTAAAATTATAAATTTATAATTATAACATAATATTAAATAAGAATGATATTTTATTAAGTGAAGATATATATAATGTCATGAATGAATTCTTAAATAAAAAGAATCAATTATGTAATGACACATTATATTATAAAGTTATAAAAGCACATGACATTTTATAACCAATCATTTTCATTTCTTATATTGAACAATTGAAGTTCTATTATAAATATTGGACTATTGAATCCAAAAGACTATTATTAAAAATATAATTCAATTTAAAAAAATTAAACAGCTCATGGGATATCAAAGGAATTTATTAAAAATTTTAAAAATCTCAATGAGCATTTATTTAATATCTATTGAAAAATTTAACCATTTTAATAATAAACTAGTTTTTTTTGCCCGTGCAACGTGGTTTTTTTTTTTTTCATTTATCTTTAATTGTGTTTATTTTTTTATTTGGTAGACTATATTTATGAAATATTAATGATATAACAAAGAAAAATTAATATTCATAAAAAGGTATTTGAATATCATACTTTATTGCTATTATTCAATAGTGATTTGTAGTAAGGCATTAAGAGATTTATATTATTTAATAGTTACTTGTGGGAGATCCTTAAAAACTGTGTAATAAACAATGTTTTTTGTGCAGCCTTCATAGTCTTGTTCATCATGACCAATGAGAATCTTTAGATCAGTTGGAGATGTCACTCTAATTGGCCATGGTTGAAAACAGGACTTGGTAGATATAGGCCGACATGCTTTAGGGACTGCCCTTGACTCTTATTAATTGTCATTGTGTAGCACAGCCTTAAAGGTAATTGTCTTCTCTTCAGTATGAATGGTCACTTTGATTGCTATAAAGTCATTGTAATTCTTGATATTAAAATCTTCTTACCAATCTTGTTTCCTGTCATGATCTTGCCTTTAATGATCCATTCTTCCAACTGTGTTATTTTTATTCTGGTGTTATTGTAAGTTTTTTTTTTTTTTTTTGTCTTATAATTAGAAGTGTAATAATATTATCATTTGTAACTACTAATATAATAATTTTGAATTAAATTTTTAATACTATGATTTGTAACTGTTAATATGATAATTTTGAATGAAATTTTTATATTCTATGTTGTTATTTAATTATTTATTTTTTATGATTTTTTATTAATTAATAGAGGTTTTAATGTACATGTAAATTGCATAATTTTTCTCTTTTTTTAATACTTTTCATTATTATTTTCTGTTATGCATATATTAAAGTGAGTTTAATTTTTAATAACCCGTGCTTAGAGTTTTTAACTATATATTAATTTGTTCAACTTCCTCTATAACAATTATATCAACACTAACCAAGAGTGTCGACACAACCATGACAGGTTTTTGGGTCCTTTTGCTATTTTTTCAAAGATAAAATTGCAAGTCTGGTCCTAAGAGTTCTACATAGTGAACAATCTAATCCTATATCTTTGAATTTATTCATTTAGATCCCTAATTGGAACCTTTTGTTTGACAATATAGACCTCAAACTTTGAAAATATTTACAATTTAACCCATGACTTCTATTATAATGCATTCGAATATTTTTTTATGCGTTTCCAAGGATACACATCTTTCACCTCTAGATGCACCTCTTGTTTACTTCCCATTTCAACGCTATGTTTAGGGCATAGTTTCAATGGGGTTTAAGTAGTAGTTTTTTTTTTTTTTGTTGTTGGGGGTGGGTTCTTTCTGTATCTTTTATATTCCTTTTGTTTGTCTTCTATTTTCATAGTAATTCTTGTAAGATGGACAAACTGAATAAATTAATTAAATATAATATAATAAAAGGTGAAGAGAATGATTATTTAATTAGGAAAAGGGACAATGATAGTTGACAACAATAATAAAAATAAAAGAGAAAAAGCTAGTCTTATAAATAAAGTCGGAATAGTTATCAATAATAATTAAATTAATAATAGATTACTTAGGGACATTCTTAGTAATTTTTAAGAAAAGAATGGAATATATAAGACAAAGATAACCCTACAATTTATTTATATTATATCATGAATAGTCAATTCTACATAATATGAAAATTATTAGATATTATTTAGAAGTGCATTCATCTTTTTCTTGCTATAATAAGATATTTTTATTCTTTGTAACATTGTTCTAAGTCCTTCAACAATCCTTGAAACATGATCTTTATATACTGCTTCTTTTTCTTTCTCCATTTCACGTAAAGAAGATTGTCTTTGAAAAGCTTCTTCAATAGCTTGCATTTTGCAATTGGTGAAATTAACATCTTCAACTGCAAAATCATGAGATTTCTTTAGTTCTAAGATAGCATGTTTTGCAGCAAATTGTTCCACTTCTTCCATAGTTGCAAAAGGATAGCCATTGTAAATTAATTTCACAGCAATATAGTTCTCTTCTTGGATCAGTTGAACATTGGAGGTATATATAATTCCCATCATCAATTAGATTTGTTTGATATTGTGGCTGACCTAAATTCAATCGAATAGATATCCTCTCTAGTAGTTCCTTGAAATTAATTCTTTCCACAAACCTAGGGTTTTCAATGCTACAAAATGGTTGTCAAAAGAAAATATTGAACTATAATGTATAAATAATGTAATTGAAAAAAAATGAAATAAGTATCAAATACCCTGTATCAAATGTAATATACCTTTTTGAAATTATTGGTTGACTCAAATTCCTTCATCAAAAGTTTGCATGGAGAATGGGGAAGGGTGGAGCTTAAATAGAAATCATGTAAATATATCTCTTTAATTAGATTATTATTGTAGGATAGGTTAGAAATAGTGACTCTTTATTTTTAATCATCATCATTACTATGGTATTAAATTGTATTTGTATAGTCTATTTAAATTCATTGGCAAAAAAAGTATCTTTAAAAAAAAAATGAAAATAACATTATAGCTCATAATGATATAATAATTATAATCATTATGATATTATAATTGCACATGTAGTTATATTTTTTAAATAATTTTTCAACAAATTTTAAGTAAAACTTTCTAATTATTTTTTGTCTTCTCATATTCTTGTCTTCCATTTCTTATCTTTATATTCTCAATCATTTTATAATTATTAGATATAATGTATTAAACTAAAAGAAGATGAATAAGTG